TCCAGAGGGACCTTACCCCCAAAGGGACCTTACGTCCAGAGGGACCTTACACCCAAAGGGACCTTACCCCCAGAGTAAGCTTACCTCCAGAGAGACCTTATTCCCAGAGGGAGCTTAGATGCAATCGAATGAAAGCAATTTATACTCTGTCCTTGCAAACGTGAAAGGTAAGGCCAAGAGATTTAGGAATTAATATTAAGTTTAAGAATGGATATGACATTTATTTTCATTGAAGATTTGTTTGTAGAGCGTTCGAGATGTTTGTCGACCTCTTGTAAATCTTGTGAACAACAGCGAGAAAAATGACAAGAAACGGCAAGCCAGTAAATTATGAGGTTCAGTCGCTAATGAGCATGCGCGATTTCCTAAAATGAGCAAATTTCTTAATTACCCGCACGGAAAACAACAACAACAACAACAACAACAAGTAAAAAGAGCCAGGGTTTATTGTGAGATAAAATTAAAATGAATCTCATATGAATTGTGCTTACCATTTCAGGCGATATATAATATGGCGTTCCCAATACTGTGTTGGCTTTAGATCCTTCAAGCTGTTTGCTTATGCCAAAATCACCGAGTTTAACGACAGAGTCTTTGGTTAGGAAGATATTGGCAGTTTTCAAGTCTCTGCCGACAAAAAACCATGTCAGTTAATACAACAACAAAACAGATTGAAGTCTTATTCATTTCGGTTCACTTCCTGTCATTTTATCGTACAAACACCTGATTGTCGGGTTCTCAAAGGTCATATGACCAAATCTACGACCGAAAGGGAGCACGGGAAATAGTTTCAGTGCCAAAAGATTGCCAGCATTGCATAAAATACCTTCTCTACGARTAATGCTATGTGTACCATGTTAATAAGGCAACTATGGTACTTATAATCCCCTTCAGGTGCTATCTAGCTTGGATGCTTTACATACCCGACACTCAGCCCAACCTTTACAACAGACGCTTTCTGTTGAAATTTGATTTAAAAAATAGCATGTTTCTCCTGTGAGTGCTGTGAGTAAGAAAAACACCGCTTTTGAGTGACGTATTAGAGCTACTCGAGTTTCAGCTCAAAATTACTACTAAACCAGTACCTAAAATGACTTCTGTCGCTGGTTATATCTTGGTCCATGGAAGTTAAATCGATTTGACAAACAGAAATGCATCAAGGGAAGGAAAGATTCGTCGCGCGGCATATCAACTATCGATACGGATTAATGGCATAATCAGAAGTACTTCTGGCATAATACAATAAGGATTTAAACCGCTGATCGACTTATACATCGTTGCCGGTGACATCCTTGAATCGATTGTTGCTACCGTATGAAATTGATTCCCCAAAATCAGTGATCTATATGTTTTATCTGGTTTGCCAGCGACATATGAAAATTACGGTTTTCCGAATACAAAACTAGGATTCGCTCGAAACAAAAACAAAAACATTCTATGCTGTCCCGTTGATCAGTGTTCATTTTCTTCGTCATGGTTTCAAAATCATCTTTTTGCTTTTTTCGTTGCTGTTTTTTTTTTATTTTCAACGAACCCCTCCCTATCCGATCACTTCGCACAAACATCTTGCAAAATCGCTTCACTAATTCAGTGTTTATCATGTCAAAATACTTTAAAAAATACMTAGCACAACAAACAATAAACAATATTGCTTCAAAAAACAAACAAACAAGAATTCAATAAAAAATCGTCAGTTGATGATCCTCGCGACTCACTTCAAGAATTTTGGTATTCCAGATATTCCTTCCATCTTTCATAAAACTGATTTCCTTTTTCATAAAATCGATTGATTGATAAAAACAGTACCTATGTAAAATATTGCTGTCGTGWATATACTTTAATGCTGACAACATTTGCTGAAACATCAACAARGTTTCTTTTTCTTCCATGTCTTTATCCAATCTTGTCAGATACTGGGCTAATGTCCTGGAAACAACAACATATTAATTATACCACTAGAATTCAAAAATATTTGTTATTTTTAGAAAAATTCAATAGTTTTTTCTCGGATACAAACGTTCCAGCCACATAAGAGTACCTCAGTTTTACCAATCGAAAATGATTTCGGGATTTTTGAACTTCTTTTGAAAAGAAGATGCCAACCCTCACGAGAAGGAACTTATCAAATAACTAAAGGGTTATAGAGGTAAAGTGGAGTTTTCCTTTAAGGCATTCGTGTTGTTTGCGATGCCATTTCATTTAACATAATGGATTTATAGATTTAAAGTACAAAACTAAAACTTTTTTATTATCTTAAAGTTGTTGTTGAGTTCTCCTTTAATAACTCCGTTTTGTGATGAATTTATGATAACGAGCGACTTGAGATTCTCTCCAAACTGTAAATACAATAAGARAAGGTGATATCTCAGCTTACCCTCCATCTGCATATTCCATCTCTATCATAAGTGTACCATCGACCTCAAAGCTGTCGTAGTAGCTGATAATGTTTGGATGGAGACTTAATTTCGAGAGGACCTTTGCCTAGAAATTCGTATACAGACACTTCAAATAAGGTTACAACTGTTAACTGAACTATGAATACTTTGAAGTAGACCTAATCACATATTTGAATTCATATTGATATAATTGTACWCAAAACCTTTAAGCACTTCTAGGTAAGAAAGAATAGGTTGATCGGATGGCGGGGTTAGAATAGGTTGATGAATGGAGGGGTTAGAAGAGGTTGATGGATGGCGGGGTTAGAAGACGAGAAACTGTTGGTGGAAGAGAAATGAAAGGATGAAACAAAGCGCTACAACTATACCTCATTCATAGCCATCTGCCGTTCTGCAGCATTCAAGTCATGCAGTGTAATCTCCTTTAAWATTACCAAAGAATCGTCATCTTTCTTTCTGTACAGCACAGCTGCACCATACGCCCCTATAAACACACAGATCTGACTTTAAGTAGTGTTTTAATAAACGAAAAGTGTGAGTGAGTGTTATTATATAAAAAACACGACTTGCGAGTATATTGAACGTCTTCAAAAACTCCAACACTAATTCGAAAAAAACCGATAGGATTCTTGCAGAAATGGTCGTAAAATAAGTTTTGAGATAAATGGGGCAACTGATCATGCACGAAACACTTAACAAAGCACTCTAGTCATTCCACATTGAATATGCATTAAGTAAAATATAAGCGCTGGTGGCTGTTTCATTGCAAACGATTGACATCCTGCATTGGTCAATGCTGAGACCTTTGCTAGGGTCATGGACCTTTACATTAATAAAGGTCATACGGTTGCTTTATCAACCTCCGGTGAATGCCGGGAAATTAATATCCGAGCATTGTTAAAGTTTACAACAGCACTCGGAAGTAAAATATGTGGTAAATGTGCGACCCTGTCATTCAAGCACTTTCCTTACCCTTTCCTACTGTTCTGATTTTCTCAAAATTACTGATACTTTGTGGCTGCGCTCCTGACCAACCACGAAGTTTCTCACTTTTGAAATACAATTCTCCTGGTGATGAACTAAAAGCATAGAAATATATTAATCAAAATATTAATCAAATAGCCGTTGTTAATTGAACTGTAGCTTTACAATCTAAGATACGAAGGTAAGTCATAATTTTTACGAAACTATTTGAAATATCTCTTGCTGTCATCAATACAACTGATGATTTTATAGAGCACATATTTCCATATCAAAAGAGCTGAAAACACTTTCTAGACAACAATTACGTTATTCAATGTTAAGCTGCAAAATCTCAACGATACAAATGCGTAGCCAAACGTTCTGTAATTTGTATGAAATAAAAAAACGTTTCAAAGTGCAAATGTCAA